TTCACAACGAGTTGCTTCGGCCTTCACTTACATTTCTTTATTAATGTACGCTTCTTCAGCTAAACTCTGTCTTTCCCTTCTCCACTGTGTACAAGTTGGTGACAACCAAGTTTTATTTCTTGATGGTAATGTAAAATGTTACCAAACGTTTCAATATTTTCTTCTTGCTTACCTGATTTCTTCCATACTTCCATTTTGCCTTGTCCCTGTTTTCGGCTCGTATCATTTAAAGTCTGGCCGAATTGGTGTGAGACAATTTTGTGCAGCTTGTATCTTCCCTCTGCCATTTTGTTGTTTTTGGATGTATTTGTTGCTTAAGGACTGTCGTTCTGGAAATCAGGAAACGTATAACACAATAGAAGAGAATGACAATGCAGTAAGATCTGAACAAGATAATGACGAAACACAAAGCCTTGGTAGTGAAGAAATCACCTTTACCTATTCCACTGAAAGCAATGAAAACACTTCTACGGGAAGTGAATCAGCCATTCTCAGTGTATTGTTGGGACCATTTAAACAGCATCAAGCTTTTATGTGTTTTCCTTCTTCACATATTCCTTGGGAAGGTTTTCTCGTCTTTCGTAGATTGGTCTTGATTATTCTGTTGACTTTCGTCTACGACATTCAGCTCAGACTTTTTCTAGCTTTAATATTGTGTGTTGCCATTCTAATCTGCCACACCATTGCGTATCCTTTTCAGAGAAAACGCTACAATGTTCTGGAATCTTTTTCTCTTGGCACCCACGTGGTCCTGTGTGGTTCAACTCTAATAAAAGCTATTCATTACGGTGAAGATTATTCTTCTTTTTCGAAAAGTTTGCCTGTGTTGAATGTGATTGAAAATATTCTTATTGTCGCTCCGTTGTCTATCATCATGATCGTTGTTATCTTTTCTCTTGCTATAAAGTTGGTGTTTGGTTTAAAGCTCTGTGTATCAGTGTTGATTCGCAAGGTTAGGGGGTTTTAAGGTTTACTTTGTAAACACTTTCTAATTAAATATTTTAAGCATTAGTTTACGAATTGTAGCTGAAATAGTGAGTTGAACTATTGAACGTAGTGCCATAAATTTATTTTAGGTCGGACAACATTAAGATTAGGCGTAAAAAAAAACCTGTGGTTCCGGTTCCCGACCGACCCTATTTTTTTCTGCCGACCCTATTATTTTTCAGCGCGATTGACCGTACGACCTTATTTTCTCCAGGTGGTTGCGGGCTGCTCATACAGCGTGCCAAAATGGCGTCTGTTGTCACAGTAATTATTGAACCAAATTGCCTAAATTCGTCCATATGAAATACGCATCTCTAGTTAATATTGATGTCGGGACTCTACTGCAAATCGCCAAGCAAAAAACCGCCAAAACCATGAAAAAAATATTCAAAAAAAAATTTATTTCCGACCTACCGACCTAATTTTTTCACGATATGAAACCGGAACCACATGTATTTAGTATAACTTAGTATAACGCCTTAGTATAACTATATATTGATGAATGATGTAGTTTTTATTATCATAGCAAACTTGTAAATGTTAAAATGTAAATATAATTATTTTTCAATATTTTGTGTTGTTATTTTATCGATCTTACTGTCTTTTGTGCATTAATCTTTCAACCAGAAATCCTATACAATCTGACTAATTAACACCAAACATCATTTAGCCCACGAATCACGCGTGTACATGTAATATGAGTGGCTATGTCGCGCGAGACAAAAACACAATATCATATTCAAGCTGTGTTTCAAGAAAATGTTGAATAATGGCGGCGTCGACAATCGTTTAGCGATACAAGTTTATTTCATATTTTGTTTTGGTAAGGATTATAATTCTTATTTCTTAAGCTGGTATGTATCTCCGAAAGACAATAAGACATATAAATTTAATAATATTCGCAGCAATGGACTCACGTTAGATTATGAAAGTTATAGACATAATGCATTGTCATATTCATTGACATACGTATTGTCATATACTAAATGTTCATAAAATGTTCATAGCTTTAACGCTCTCTATCGTCATATTAATGATTCACACTGATGTACGTGAAACCGTTCATAAATCAGCGTGATAATTTGCTTGAGGCGTTGTCTCTGGGTGCTTTGATAATTCTGTCCGGATTCAGTCTGATTAAAGCTATGTATTACGGGGAAGAGTTGTCATATTCGTCGAGTAATCTGTCATTGTTAAAACAGTTTAACTTGATTGAAAATATCTTCATCGTGACCCCACCTGTTGTAATATTGGTTATCGTATCACTTTCGCTTTTACTCAAGTTAATCATTTGTCTTCGGGCTTGTGTTAATGCCTTGCTAACACCGGTAAGAACGCGAAGTATGCGATAAACGAATTGATATAATACATCGTCAATCTGACCTGGAAACGGGGATACATAACTGCTTGATTTGGTAGAAAACCGTCTCGCCGAGCACTGGATATAGAGCCGGATTCAAAAATAGCCTGAAAAGCGCACTCAAAAACAGAGATGATGAACATGTCAATTGCGTATAAAAGCTCCTATCTATATGGAACAAAACTGGGGAACTTGAACCTTTTAGCTCATTTAAGAAATCTTTAAAGAACAGATTACGTAGAGACAACTAACTATATGACCGATTCTTACGTACAAATATTCTTATTTGCCTATAAATATTGCATGTACAACATTAATAAGTGATAGTATAATTAGGATAACATGTAATAATATATTCAACTGTAATTTCAATTTATAGTTTGTTGTAAAATTTTGACTACTAATCTTTCACGACCGCATTAACTATTGCTGTGATCACCAAATCGTTAATAAATAAACATTACTAGTACCATTACTACCATTACTAATACCACCAGCACCTTCCTTGGACAAGGTTGCCTGCCCTTATCACCCCACCCCAACACAATAAATCCAATCCTATTCAATCAAGCATTTGAATAATACGGAAGATAAAAAGATGATAACCATGGATTGGTTTGGTATGTTTAGTCTTTTAAACTTGTATTGAAAATATGTACAAAATTAAGTTGTGTACTTATGTTGTTTTTTTAAATTTGGTACCGAATGTTGGTCTAGTTTTACATTAAATAAGTTCCCACGGTACAAAAATAAAATGCACTATAATTAACTTACCATTTGCAACGAAGATTTTCCACAAACAACTTTTGTTTCAGCATTCATGTGGTGTTGCATGCATGTGCAACGTATTAAGCCCCGTACAAACTGGCGATGTTTCCTTGACACGTTTTCCTTGACACTATTTCTTTGACAATATTTCTTTGACAACTTTTCCTTGACAAGTTTTCCTTGACAAGTTTTCCTTGGCAAGTTTTCCTTGACAAGTTTGCCTTGACAAGTTTTCCTTGACAAGTTTTCCTTGACAAGTTTGCCTTGACAAGTTTTCTTTGATAAGTTTTCCTTGACAATATTTCCCTGACAAGTTTTCCTTGACAAATTTTCCTTGACAAGTTTTCCTTGACAAGCTTTCCTTGACAAGTTTTCCTTGACAAGTTTTTTTTGACAAGTTTTCCTTAACAAGTTTTCCTTGACAAATTTTCCTTGACAAGTTTTCCTTGACAAGGTTTTCCTTGACAATATTTCCTTGACAATATTTCCTTGACAAGTTTTCCTTGACAAGTTTTCCTTAACAAGTTTTCCTTGACAAGTTTTCCTTGACAATATTTCCTTGACAAGTTTTCCTTGACAAGTTTTCCTTGACAAGTTTTCCTTGACAAGTTTTCCCTGATAAGTTTTTCTTGGCTAGTTTTCCCTGTCAAATTTTCCTTGACAAGTTTTCCTTGTCAAATTTTCCTTAACAAGTTTTCCTTGACAATATTTCCTTGACATGTTTTCCTTGACAATATTTCCTTGACAAGTTTTCCTTGACAAGTTTTACTTGACAATATTTCCTTGACAAGTTTTATTTGCTCGTGCACGGCAAAAAGTTGACAATTTTTCCTTGCCAATGAGCCTTGTTGCAAAGATAGTAATGCCAGCATTTGGACAAGGAAATTTGTTCGTGTGTAGGACAGCCAAGGATAATTTGACAAGTTTAGAAGAAAATATAGTCAGTCCATACGAGCATCTACTCTAATGTCGTTCATCGGTTGACGATTCGGCTTCACGGATCGAAAGCTTTGCGGAAAAAATAAACGCGATATTTAACGGAAAACAACAAAACGTTTTGCAACACATTGATATAAGTGCACACACATTTGCATTGCTTGAAGCCTTCTTCAAACCAGCCTGTTGGACGATGTTGGATAAATATTTTGAATAAAGTCAAACTAATTCAACACTATCAAATCCAAGAAGTTGCATACAACACTGTCGGACGATATTTGACCAACATGTTGAACGGCTGCTTTTGAACAGCGAAAGTCGACGAAAAACAAACGGGCTTTTTACAACTTGCTTGCGTTTTAACAACTTGTTTATATGATACGCGCGATAAATATCAACAACTTGTTCATGGTTGACAACAACACGAACGTTGTGCTGAACCCTATGTGAACAGTCGACAACATTGCTGATAACAATATTTTTCAATATTGTTCATAACAATATTTTCACAGCTTTATTCGACCATCACAATACTGAAACAACTTGTTGAAAACACTGGACAACCATGCTATTGATGCTCAACATGGTTGTTTTTCTCCCGACTAAAAATTTTTTTGACTCAAAAACGTAAACAAAAATGCACCCACAATGACTCAAATTACTCAAAAAATTATGAGCGTATACCTACTCAATTTTTTGAGTTTCAAATAAAGATTACTTTGCTTTAAATTACTAAATTTGCTCATAAATTTGAGTAATTTCACTCAATATAGTAATTTCACTCTGTGGGTGCCTTATTTTACTTTGTGAGTTAATTTTTTTTGCAATGTTGAGAAACACTGTCACTGAGCAACAATGTCAATGTTGAACAATGTAACAATGTTGACAGAACAATGTTGTCAATAACATTGTTCCATATTATTATCAGTATTGTTGCAATACTGTTAGGCTCAAAATTTTGTTGACAGCAGTGATGTAACTTAATGCTTGCCCGGGTAAGTAAAATTATATCATTATGGGCAAGTACAGTAGAAGTTGCCTCTTGGTTGCCCAATTGGGTAAGTTGTTTTTTCATGTTTTGTCAGAAATTGATTGCTACACTAACTTGTTTGCTTGTTTATGGTATGCATTCTATTCTTTATTAGTAGATCAGCTGAAATCAACACTTCATGATTAAGTAAGAAAATATAAGATTAGAATGTTGATTAATCAATCCTTACTGCAATCATTTGCTTCAAATTTTGCTAATATGTGTAAGGGCAAAAAGGGAATTTTATTCCGGGAAACTCATTGTCCTGTCTATTACATCACTGCTGACATGCGATAGATTTAAAACACTTTTTGCTTACGATCATTCCTTTTGATCCAAGCGACATAATGACCAGACGACGATGAACGTCCTTGATGGGTTAGAACAGCTTGAAGCTCATATAGTCCGCTGTTGTTTGAACCAATGTCTGAAAGAAAGATGTAACTGTATAGTAAAGGTGTGGTATGGTATGGTATGGTATGGTATGGTATGGTATGGTATGGTATGGTATGGTATGGTATGGTATGGTATGGTGTATAATGGTTGGACATGCTTTGTTATAGTATGGTGTGGCGTAAAATGCTAGAGAATAGTGTGCATGGTATGGTAGGACATGGTCTAATATGGTATGGAATGGTATGGTACAAAATGGTAGGACATGATGTGATATGGTAAGGTGTGAAATGGTATGCATGGTGTGGTGTGGTATGGTATGAAATGGTATGGTGTGGTATGGTGTGAAATGGTGTGAAATGGTATGGTGTGAAATGGTGTGAAATGGTATCAGTGCCGAAGCCAGCCCGACAATTTGGTCATGCTATCATTGCTATGCAAATATTTCCGTGTTTATAGACCGTAAAAACAATCAATTCCTAAAAACTGAATGATGATTTAAAATTTGCATAGCATGACCAAATTTTCGGACTGGCTTCGCCACTGAATGGTATGGTGTGATGAGGTATGGTGTGAAGTGGCATGTGTGGTACGGTGTGAAATGGTATGGTGTGATATGTTATAGGGTATGGTGTGCTAAGGTATATGGTATACGATATGGTAAGCGAAACGAGGTACAGTCAAGAAGCGAAAAATGTAGAAGTTTATAAATATTCCGTTCAACACAACGTCTTGACAAAGGTCATTTCATTAACATATTTATTTTATGCAACAATTTAGGCACTACATTCAAACTGTGTGGCATTGAACATTTTCAAAACAGTAATTCTTTTCATTCAGTTTAAATATCAATAGTAAATAATAGATTAATAAAATAATTGTAATGTAAAGAAGTAGTGCATTTAGACCGTGGGATGTCCAATATATATTATTCAGTGGCCAGTTAGCCATGGCAACTAGTCATGCTATGCTAATAAATCTGCATCTACATAGGTCAAAGACAATACGTTTCTGAAGGTTTAAATAATCCAAATAATTAAAAATTTGCATGATCTGTTTATATGGCTAGCTTCACCAGTGATATTATTGTACTGCATTGTATTGCAATAACCTGTGCTATATATTTAAAGTGGAAGTCAAGCCCGTACTGCAAGCAAACGGTTTGTTTCCATTTTCAACTGCTGTATTTTTTAAAATATGATGTACTGTCTGAATACTAACACCATTTTGGTTCGCTATGCTTCTAAATGAATATGAAATAGAGTTTATGTTCAGAAAAATTCGAAACATTCGAAATTTGGGCAATGTTAACATTAGAGGGTCATCACATTGTTATGAGCAGAACCGATGCGCACAACGGATTTGACTTCCACTTTAAGTATTTTGCGGATATTATAGTTATATAAACGACAAGTTCCTTGTTTTTCACTTTCGCTTTTCAAGAACAACTTTAAAAGGTTTCGGTTTACGAACGGAAGCCGCGTTCGCTTCATTAGCTCCCAGATCCCCGGTATTAACCATCGCCAAACGAAAATTATACACCATCCGGGCAATCGTCACGAATACAATCATCTTTCCCAGAATTTCGCCGAGGCAGACTCGCTTTCCCGCGGAGAAGGGGTAAAACGCGAAGGGGGGTGGAGACGAGTAATTCCCGTTTTCATCCAAGAATCGGGCTGGTTTGAAGGCGTGCGGGTCATCCCAAATTCGGGTGTCGTTATGAATTGCATACGCGTTTACCAGGACAGTGGTATCTTTTGGGACGCGGAAGCCGTTGATCGATGCATCTGTAGTCGTACGGTGAGGAAGAAGCAACGGTACTATAGATCCACATCGAAAAACTTCTGTAATGGTTGCCCATAGCAACGGCAATCGGTGGCGGTCGGAAAATCTCGGAGGCGTATCGGGATTTAGAATTCGCGTCATCTCATTGTATATTTCGTCTTGTATGTCTGGGTATAAAGCCAAGTAGAAAACACCCCATAATATGGACGAGCTTGAAGTTTCGATGCCCGCAAAAAATATATCAGTTATTATTAGCATAATTTCCTCTTCGCTTAAAATTACGTCATCACTCGTACCATTGATGACGTCATTTTCGTATTGCTTTCGTAAAGCATCGGTGAGGTCTTGGATTTTATCGACTTTCATGGACGTGTGCTCGTGGTACTTTCGTGAAACGATCGTCTCCAAGAGACCGATAGCAGACTTTAGTTCGATAACACGTTTCAGCGGCAGCTGTCTTAGCAACGGGATCACGTCAATCAGGTTGCCAGGGGCGATGAAGCTTTGCACGACATCGAAATTTTTCATAAGAATACTAAACTCGGGATCATCATGTCTATATTTAGAACCAAACGTCATAGCACATATAATATTGGCTACGCAGAGAAACAAATCGTGAGCGATATCCCTTTGGGCACCAGTGTGTGTTTCAAGAGAAGTTGTCAGATCTTCTACAACGGCACAAACTTGTTTTTCAAGCGGTAACAAGCCACTACCAAACATTTTCACCGCTGCATGAAATATTTTGCGCCGTTTTTTCCAACGTGGACACATGTCTTCACAAAATCCGATGTCCTTTCCACCATGGCTTAACAATATTCCCACATACGGTAGGTTCAACGGTCGGCCACCGAATATATACGATTGCCTTACGAGGACTTCCCGAGCCATATCCGAGCTACTCACGACAACAGCACGTTCGCTCCCGAAAAAGACTGTCATCAGGTCTCCGTGTTTCGCGGCAAGTTTCGCCAAAGTCACGTGGGCATTTGAACCAATCTGATGCAGATTTCCCAAAAGCGGAAGTGGGAACGGTCCAGGAGGGAGATCACGTGTCGTGAAATACGACCAATAGAAAGAGAGAAAGCGCCAGAATAGTAGCACTAAAATAATGCATACGAAAAGTGTAAACATTGTTCTTACGTTTTTCGTCTTTTCTTTTAGTGTTTTCGCCCGTACTTAAGAACTGTGATTTTTGCAGAGAGAACAACCTTGGTACTTTATATAGACACTTGCAATTTTAGTAGATTGTAGTTGCCACAGAAGGTATATGGAAAGTACTCAGCATATATTTATATCACCAGTTAAAGAAGTCTTTCTCGAAGAAAACCTCTTTAGGAAATGTTATCCAAAGAAGTGTTTTTATGAAACACTTGACCGCGCCACTCAAAGAAAGGTTACAAAGTTAAACGCCACTCCACACACTTTTCGATTATTCTCAACTTAAATGTTCTATTATCAATTTAAATTGCACAGTAAATTAATCACCAGGGTGTCAATGATATATTTTCTTCGAACAACGAGTATACACAGAAATCATAAGTAATTGTGTTCGTAAACAGTTTCTTCAGCTAAGCTCGCTACGAATGGGTAGTTAAGCAATTCCAATTAATTTGATTCGAAACAGTCCCCAGAGCGTCTATTTGTAAGAAAGGCTCCGTCTATCTCTCTGTAAGCTGGCTTTGTGTTACACAGATTGATATATCTTCTTCAGTTGTGTTCATCACATACCATCACGTAAACTGATCGAATCATTCAAACACACTCCATTAATATCAACAGCCCACCAAAATATGCCATAAATACATCTTTATCATAACCCGAATACCAATCATCAACCCACACACAGTATAAAGAATATTAAAGTAGCTAATTATAAAGATACGCTTGAATCGCTTTTTCACACAGGATTTTCTGACAGGCAACTATTAAGCATGTCTTATAATAACTGCTGTATGAGGAGTTATCAATCTTTGTATATCAAACTATGGTGTTTCAGTCTTAATAGTATGTATACACTACATTACAGATAAGGCGATGAACTCTCTGCAAAGCAAAAAAAAATATTGTCTATATTTAGGCAATGCAATCTTAAGCACCTACAAAGATCTTTTGTAATAATCTTTCATACATATAATTCCTGGTGATTGAAAGCTCGTTATGAAGCATGTCCAATATGATATCGTACTGCGTTCACAATTAAGGCACAGTCGGAATATTTGCATGAAAAAACTTCAGATTGCCGTAGGTTATGCACGCAAAGTCTAAATAACATACTTATTTTACGCAACAATTTAGACACTACATTCAAACTGTGTGGCATTGAACATTTTCAAAACAGTAACTTTTCGATCAGTTTAAATATTAATAGTAAATTTTAGATTAATAAAATAATTGTAATATAGAGAAGTAAGGCATTCATACTGTACATGGAGTGTCCAATTTATGTGGCGAGCTAGCCATGGAAGCTGGTCATGCATGCTATGCTAATAAAACCGCATCTAAACCGGTTAACCACAATAAATTTCTAAAGGTTTAAATGATGCAAATCACCAAAACTTGCATCGCATGACCTGTTTATATGGCTAGCTTCGCCAGTGATATTATTGTACTGGATTGTATTGCAATAACATGTGCTATATATTTAAGTATTTTTGCTGATATTTTAGTTTTATAAACGACAAGTTCCTTGTTTTTCATTTTCGCTTTTCAAGAACAACTTTAAAAGGTTTCGGTTTACGAATGGAAGCCGCGTTCGCTTCGCTAGCTCCCAGATCCCCGGTATTAACCATCGCCAAACGAAAATTATACACCATCCGGGCAATCGTCACGAATACAATCATCTTTCCCAGAATTTCACCGACGCAGACTCGCTTTCCCGCGGAGAAGGGGTAAAACGCAAAGGGGGGTGGGGACGAGTAATTTCCGTTTTCATCCAAGAATCGGGCTGGCCTGAAGACGTGCGGGTCATCCCAAATTCGGGTATCGTTATGAATTGCAAACGCGTTTACCAGGACAGTGGTATCTTTTGGGACGCGGAAGCCGTTGATCGATGCATCTGTAGTCGTACGATGAGGAAGAAGCAACGGTACTATAGATCCACATCGAAAAACTTCTGTAACGGTTGCCCATAGCAACGGCAATCGGTGGCGGTCGGAAAATCTCGGAGGGGTATCGGGATCTAGAATTCGCGTCATCTCATTGTATATTTCGTCTTGTATGTCTGGGTATAAAGCCAAGTAGAAAACACCCCATAATATGGACGAGCTTGAAGTTTCGATGCCCGCAAAAAACATATCAGTTATTATTAGCATAATTTCCTCTTCGCTTAAAATTACGTCATCACTCGTACCATCGATTACGTCATTTTCGTATTGCTTTCGTAAAGCATCGGTAAAGTCTTGGATTTTATCAACTTTCATGGAGGTGTGTTCGTGGTACTTTCGTGAAACGATCGTATCCAAGAGACCGATAGCGGACTTTAGTTCGATAACACGCTTCAGAGGCAGCTGTCTTAGCAACGGGATCATGTCAATCAGGTTACCAGGGGCGACGAAGCTTTGCACAACATCGAAATTTTTCATAAGAATACTAAACTCGGGGTCATCATGTCTATATTTAGAACCAAACGTCATAGCACATATAATATTGGCTACGCAGAGAAACAAATCGTGAGCGATATCCCTTTGGGCACCAGTATGTGCTTCAAGAGAAGTTGTGAGATCTTCCACAACGGCACAAACTTGTTTTTCAAGCGGTAACAAGCCACTACCAAACATTTTCACCGCTGCGTGAAATATTTTGCGTTGTTTTTTCCAACGTGGACACATGTCTTCACGAAATGCGATGTTTTTTCCACCATGGCTTAACAATATTGCCACGTACGGTAGGTTCAACGGTCGGCCACCGAATATATACGATTGCCTTACGAGGACTTCTCGAGCCATATCCGAGCTACTCACGATAACAGCACGTTCGCTCCCGAAGAAGACTGTCATCAGGTCACCGTGTTTCGCGGCAAGTTTCGCCAAAGTCACGTGGGCATTTGAACCAATCTGATGCAGATTTCCCAAAAGCGGAAGTGGGAACGGTCCAGGAGGGAGATCACGTGTCGTGAAAGACGACCAATAGAAAGAGAGAAAGCGCCAGAATAGTAGCAATAAAATAATGCAAAGGAAAAGTGTAAACATTGTTCTCAAGTTTCTCGTCTTTTCGTTTAGTGTTTTCGCCTATACTTTATAACTGTGACTTTTGCAGAGAGAACAACCTTGGTACTTTGTACAGACACTTGCAATTTTAGTAGATTGTAGTTGCCAATGAAGGTATATGAAAAGTACTCAGCATATATTTATATCACCAGTTAAAGAAGTCTTTCTCGAAGAAAACCTCTTTAGGAAATGTTATCCAAAGAAGTGTTTTTATGAAACACTTGACCACGCCACTCAAAGAAAGGTTACAAAGTTAAACGCCACTCCACACACTTTTCGATTATTCTCAATTTAAATGTTCTATTATCGATTTAAATTGCACAGTAAATTAATCACCAGTGTGTCAATGCTATAGTTTCTTCGAACAACGAGTATACACAGAAATCATAAGTAATTGTGTTCGTAAACAGTTTCTTCAGCTAAGCTCGCTACGAATGGGTAATTAAGCAATTCCAATTAATTTGAAACAGTCCCCAGCGTCTATTTGTAAGAAAGGCTTCGGCTATCTCTCTGTAAGCTAGCTTTGTGTTACACAGATTGATATATCTTCTTCAGTTGTGTTCACCACATATAGCATCACGTAAACTGATCGAATCATTCGAACACACTCCCTTAATGTCAACAGCCCACCAAAATATGCCATAAATACATCTTCATCATATCCGAATACCAATAATCAACCCACACAATAGTTTTGTGTTTACCACAATTGGCGACACAATTTCCTTAATTTAGAAAACCACTTGCACAGTTATTCGAGTAATCTTCGTGCTATATTTAGGCGATAAATTTCCAGCAATAAAAATCTTTATACAAATTTCAAAAATGATACAGTACCAAAAATGATATACAAACTCTTCTAACGACATATAAACAAAGTCTATGGAACATTGATACGGACCCCACACAGAATAAAGAATATTAAAGTAGCTAATTACAAAGATACGCTTGAATCGCTTTTTCACACAGAATTTGCTAACAGGCAACTATTAAGCATGTCTTATAATAACTGATGTATCAATATTTGTATATCAAACTATGGTGTTTCAATCTTAATAGTATGTACAGGCAATGAACTCTCTGCTGATAGCAAAAAAATTGTCTATATTTAGACAATGCAATCTTAAGCACCTACAAAGATCTTTTGTAATGATCTTTCATATACACAAATCCTGGTGATTAAAAGCTCGTTATGAAGCATGCCCAATGTGATATCGTACTGCGTTCACAATTAAGGCACAGTTGGGATATTTGCATGAAAATAAACTGAACTTCAGATTTCTGTAGTTTATGCATGCATGGGTTCAAGTACTGAGAAAGGGGAATTCGAACTTCTTGAATCTATGCCAAAAACAATTTGGACAAAATTCCTACACTTTTTCTACCAGAACGTGAAATTTATATCTATAGTTTATATCTGTGTTTATGCCCCTGTCATAAATTTATGTCAAATGTTTAGCTCACCATCTGGAAACGAATAAGATTCGTATTCTTTTTTCTCCTCTTTATCAACGTCCATCTTCTCTTGGGCAGATTTCTTTCCCTCGAGCTTTGCTTTCTAAAAGTAGATGCTTTCTAAATTCAACATCACTCATACTGTATATATACTGCATACAGTTCCCAAACCAATTAAAACGGATTTGGGTGGAAATACTGTAGTGGGGGAGGTGGGAGAGGTGCAGGTACATAGGGGAGGTGCAGCGGTCTAGCTCAGGACCCCCATGGAAAGTTAGGGCTTAGAACGGGCCAAAGTCAACGACGTGACGTATGCATGTAGTGTACATATGTATCAGTGTATTAATGAATTACGACTGTACAACTCATCCAATTTTGCCCTTTATTACAATTACTACAAAGTTTCTTTCAAAACTTTGCATTAACAGAGCACTTGACACAGAGATGAATGAATATCACTGTTTCAATTTTACAGAAAAACTTTCTTACGAAGTGTAGACCCTAAGCAACCAAAAAATGTGAAATTTTCACTTTGATCTATCATTGAAACTTCCCCAAGGGGAGGTGCATGACGTTTCAGGGGAGTTGCAAAAATTCTCAGGGGAGATACAAAACGATCTCAGGGGAGGTGCGCACCTTCCCCCACTTCCCCTAAAAATCTGACCATGGTAGAAATGTACCTTTTCTTCCTCGAGTTTCTTGTCATCCATAATTTTAAATCTGTCTCTGATCGGAATTAATTTTTGTTGAAGTTCTGGACGGCACAGCTCGTATACATCCAGAGTTAATGGAAATTTGACGTCCTAAAAGGCCAGTGAATGAATATATGAAAAAAATTATTGGAAGCATTTATTGTTACAAAAATAAGCTTGTTAGAAAACCATATGTCAAAAAATATGTTACTACATGGCACTTAAAAATGTCTTTCAAAATCATATGTACACATTGTCGTACCTTTAATATCTTTGCGTTTATTTTTTCTTTTTCTTTATAATAGAAACGAACAAATTGTATGGACAGATAAGCTGGTAAACGGCTGATGAGAGACTGAAATAAAAATTTAAAACATTCTGCGAATACAACACCAAACACACATTTAACAAAATAGCATTTCAACTATGATCAATTGGTTGAGAAATTCGTCATATCACTACTCACCGATTTGGTATAGTCAGCGTCTCGCCCAAGTGTTGCAGAATTTTTATGAATTGTTTCTGTTAGACGCTGTAACACAACATCGTTAAGTTATCTCAAGGTACTCTCGTGAAATAGAACAACAACTTACAACTTACATTTTTTAACCCAGTATGAAGATATTTGACATCTAAAAAGAATAACAAAAATTCGATTAAATATGTACTTGTATATGTATTAAACAGGACATACGGACATCTCTCTAATATGCCACCTCTCTAATACAGACACCTCTCTAATACAAACACCTCTCTAATACAAACACCTCTCTAATACACATCTCACTAATACAAACACTTCTCTAATACAGACACATCTCTAATACGAACACCTCTCTAATAAGAACACCCCTCTAATACAGACACCTCCCTAATACAAACGCCCCCTAATACAGACACCTATCTAATACGAACACCTCTCTATTACATACAGTACACCTTTCTATTACATACACCTCTCTAATACGAACACCTCTCTAATACAGACACCTCTCTAATACGAACACCTCCCTAATACAGACACCTCTCTAATACGAACACCTCTCTATCACAGACATCTCTCCAATACGAACACCTCTCTAATACAGACACCTCTCTATTGCAGACACCTCTCTAATACGAACACCTCTCTAATACAGACACCTCTCTAATACGAACACCTATCTAATACAGACACCTCTTTAATACAAACATCTCCCTATTACAGACACCTCTCTAATACGAACACATCTCTAATACAGACACCTCTCTAATACAGACATCTCTCTAATAGAGACAGCTTTTTATTCAAGACGATTTCCAATAACTCTCATACAGTTACTTGAAAAAACCTCTACAAAACGACAACGTCAATTTTCGCTGAGTGCATCCCTTTGGCGAGGTCCGATTGTTCTGGTTGGTCGTAAAATAAATTCTCGTATGACCTGACACAAGCAACACATGATCCAATATTGCCTTCTTCAGCATGCAGCCTACCTTTATCAATAAAACAACTGAGCTGATAAAGAGTTTCATTTGATACAGATTCAGGTTCATCAGGAGCCTCAGAACATTTTAAACTTCAAGAAAGTTAAAGAAAATGAATGCAGATAGACGTTATATTTTTAAATCTGGATCTTGAATTCATGGTAGATGGCAAGGAAGCAGAATGACAGATGGACAGGCAGCGGGACAAACAAACAAACAAACAAACAAACAAACAAACAAACAAACAAACAAACAAACAAACAAACAAACAAACAAACAAACAAACAAACAAACAAACAAACAAACAAACAAACAAGCAAAGCAAAGCAAAGCAA